GTATCAGGTATTGCAGGCTAACAAAGACCTCAACGACCCCATTCTTAAGAGGCAGAAATGTTCTTCCGGTTCAATTTGCATGTTTTCTAAGCCAAAACAAGTTTTTGTCCTACTATATAATGCTTCAAACTCACTTCTGACATTTTGAACTCGAAAAGCTTCCTGGATGGGAAGAGAAACGTCTTCAAACTTGGAAACAAAGTCCAGTGGATTGTTTTTTGGAATGATTATGTCCCGGGTAACAGAATGTTCCAGCTTATTCCATCAAGGACGGTCTTTTCATCTATTCTGTGAACATTTGCCCTGTAGGCGTGTGATGGCTGCAACTACAGCCACCCAAATGCACGAACATTTAATCACATCACACACTAGGTCAGCCAGTCTCATTACATTTATATTGGGATTTCTTTAAATTTAGGATTTAATTTACAGAATATTTTTTGTAAGGAAAGGCATAACACTGTATTCTACAATACAGTGCGCACATTTTAATTTACACTGTTATGTTCTGCTTGATTTAATCTTTGTTTTTGAGTCACCTCAGTGCCGGCTGCTCCAGTCCTTCAGGAGAACAGAGGTGGAGAAGGGGCGGAGCCAGCCTATTGAAACTGCAAATTGGTTTACACCACTACTAATCAGCAAGACGGGGGGGAGTGGGATTTTCCTGTTAATTTCAGTTAGGTTTTTGTGTGTTTCCCCCTTTGTATCTTCTATGTGGCCTGATCAGCCAGTATTTAAGTTTCCCCTTTGTCTCATGTAGCAGGTCTGTTTGTTTCAGTAGCTCTTTTTGTTAGCCTGAGTTAAATTCTGTTACTTTGACCTCTTTTATGGGCCCAACTTTGTAATTTGTTCTTTATTGACCCAAGTTCTTTGTTTTGGGTTCAATAAAAAAGACTTTTTAAAATCTAAACCTGTGCCTGAATCTCCTTTGATTGCTCAGACCATCACAAGGTGTTTTATTTAAGTCCAATATAACTAAAACCGGATTTAGAGTCGACCTGCTGGCTTTTGACAGACCGACTCCACATGGAAATAACCCTGAATGATTCATGTATCACCATCATCATCATCATCATCCAGGACTACAGGATCCTTTGAAAAATGAAGGGACAGAATCGGGTCTTTCTACAGGCGACCCGTAGATAAACGGAACAGTTTGGGACTTTAGGGATTGCTCAACATCTGTAGCGCATCTACAGTGTTTAAATTGTGTGAATCAATCATTTATAATGTATACATATAAACTGATGTGAGGCAACGTTAGCATTGAAGTTTTCTTATGCCTGATTTTTGGCTCATCTGACAAACTTTGCCGTAACTTTTGCAACTAACATAACTTTCACGAGTGCACCTGCATTGGAGTTTGCATTAAGGGATACATGCATGTGTAAATAATGTTTTAAATTTTAAATGCGCTCACTAAAAGGTCACATAACCTGCTCTTTTTAAATGAAATTGCAGACAGATTTGTGTTGCATAAACAAAATTGTGTTTTAATGTAACTTTTAGGAGGTTACCTCAAAGATCTCAAATCCAGCAATATCCAGGATTCCTATGAAGGACGCTCCCTGCCTCTTGGTTTTGTCCAGAGCCTTGTTGATCCTCATCACCAGCCAGCGGAACATCCTCTCATACGAAGCTTTGGCCAGAGCCTCAACGGCAAACTCTGCCTGCTCCTGGGTCTGGGCCTTCTGAACGTAGTCCCTACCGACCTGAGAGAGAAAACACCAGCATTACACTACGTCGCTGTGAGGAACCCGAATGACCCGATCAGGTTCAAGTATTTTTGACAATAATGTGAAAGCATGTTTTTTCCTCAGCCTAGAGCGATAAAATATAAGCGTATAAGGTTTCCTTATCCTCCTTCACACCTGAGTGTTTATCTCGCTAATGAAAAATGCATCTCCTTGATTAAATGAAGTCATTTTGCTCCAAATGTTTGTGTGTGAAGAAGTTCTTTATGCAGGGATGGGTTGGTTCCAAGGGAGAGTGTGATGGGATTTGAACAGTATAGGTGTGTTTGCAGTCAGAGCATTTCTCTCCATCTAAGGACTTAAAATAAATCTGAACTTTCTCCTGCAAGAGTCTCAGTTTCTCCAAAACTTCACAAGGTTTAGACTGAATCGCAAATTTTTCAACCAGCTGCAGAGCAGACCTTGATCCTGGGAGACAAGATGGCTCGGGTGAAGTCGGTCACATTGATGCCCAGCAGGTGGCAGACTTTCTGGGCAGCTGGGAGTGAAAGATGGCAAACATCACAGGATTAAATTAAAAGCCGTCTTCATTTTCACATGCTCCTGTTCCACAGTGACGGAGGTGTACCCGTGTCGTCAGGCATGGACGCCTGGTCCGAGTGTCGCTCCTTCTTGAAGATCATGTTCCCCAACTGGAGCACGGCTGAGACGACCTTCAGCAGACCTGAGGAGGAACAAAAGCAGCTCAGACTTCTGACATGTTTATAGTTTCTCAACATGACATCCGGTTTTATATTCCCTACAAATTTCTCCTTAAAGGAATAGCACACCCAAAACATGATTAGCCTTCATTTTCTACTCACCCCCATGCAGAACAACAC